AACCTCTCATCGTCTATGGGCGTTTCCAGGGAAACTGGTCTTAGGCTAGATTCACCACACACACCCACGCGCTCGAAAACACCTCCACACCCACACTCTTTTCATGTTTTCAAGTGATGAGAAAAGCAAGTTGAATTACTGGGGCCTGCAAGAAACTGACTGTAGATAGTGTGGCTTGTGTGAAGAACACCCAGTCAAAGTACTCATCATGTTCTACGGGCAGGGACTATTGACTTCTAACACGACTTTCTTTGTGTATGTGGGTGTGGGTGTGTTTGTGTGGGTGCACATGTGTGTGCATGTGTGCATGTGTGTGTGTGTGTGTGTGTGTGTGTGTGTGTGTGTGTGTGTGTGTGTGTGTGTGTATGTGTGTGTTTGCTCTGTTGGCACGGACTGTTTTGAATTCAGATGGTAGGTGGATCATTCAACGCAGGAAATGGCATATTTACAGCAAGCGTTGCAGGCACGTACTTCGTTTCCGCCAATGTCCGTGTAGACGGCAACTGCGCTGGATATACACGTCTTCTCATTGATGTCAACAACAAGAGAGGCACTAGTGGACCTCAGAACTATTACACCGCTGGAGGTCAATGCAAATACAACACAATGAAGGTAGGACTCCCCCTCCCCTCCCCACCCCTCCCCTGCCCACCCCCTCCCCTCCCCTCTCCCCCTACCCCTACCCCTACCCCTACCCCTACCCCTACCCCTACCCCACCCCTCCCCATTACAACACAATGAAGGTAGGACTCCCCTCCCCTCCCCACCCCTCCCCTGCCCACCCCCTCCCCTCCCCTCTCCCTCTACCCCTACCCCTACCCCTACCCCTACCCCACCCCTCCCCTCCCCCTCCTCTCCCCACTCCTTCCCACCCCCACCCCTCCCCCCTCCCTCTTGTGTATTCTCTTAGATTGTAATGATGAACGGAACCCGGCACCCATTGCCTCTCTCCGCTTCTCCGTTATCAGTTCATAGTACTTCGAAGTAACGGAATGGTGTCTCAGTGCCTGCACCCTATTTTCCAGTTTGACCCTTTCCTCCTTCACAGCTACACTTCTCTTTGCTTGTGTGAAATTCACATGGTTAGTTTACGTGTGTGCGTGCACATGTGTGTGTATGTGTGTGTATGTGTGGGTGTGGGTGTCGGCCGTTGGGAGGTTCAAGTGGCTTTTTCTGGCCAGTACACACACGAACACACACACACACACACACACACACACGCACGCACACACACGCACACACACACACACACGCACACACAAGTAATCAAAAATAATCATAAAAATTTAATATTTTTATGTGTGTGTGTGTGTGTGCGTGTGTGCATGTGTGTGTGTGTGTTTGTGTGTGTGTGTGTGTGTACACGCATGCAGGCGTATGGATTTGTCAACCTTGTGGCTGGTAACACTGTCAGACTGAACATGTACGCCAATTCTGATACATCCTGGACTATTCACACGGAAAGCTACTTCAGCGTGCAGCTCTTTGACCGCATCAACCCTGGTACGCATGCTGATCTGGCTGCGTCGCCGGCAGTTGTACGTACGGGATGGACGGAAGTGACGCAGTGGTCGGCGACACCAAGCACCAACAATGGACTGTACAACAGCGGCACCCAGTTCGACCCAAAGACGGGCCGCTTCACTGCCACCTCGGATGGAATTTACTTTGCATCCGCGCTGGTGAGTTGGCTGTTTGGTTGCTTAGCTGTGTTTGCCTGCTTGGCTGTTTGGTTGCTTAGCTGCGTTTGCCTGCTTGGCTGTTTGGTTGCTTAGCTGCTCGCCTGCTTGACTGATTTTGAAACTGCCCATGGCCCACACGTATGGTGGTCATGTTCTTGGTAAGAATGAAAATAACCCCCAGCGTCAGTTGTTTGGATTTCATAAGACTGGAATTGTAGACGATGTGAGAATCAGACTGGAAAATGATTTCATCTCCATGGTGATTGTGGCCATAGCGATTGCATACTACCAGCTTTTAAAACACTTCCTGTCACCAATCTTCACAAGTTCAAGTACGTGTGGGCTAACAAGGTCTTGCTATGTTGATGGCGTAATAATGTTAGCCACTGAGTGCGTTCGATTATGCCCGCGAATCGATTCGCGCTATTCACATCACCCTATGTGATAGAGTGAATGGATTCCAGGGCTCATGACATGAAATTAATCGAACAGTGAGATTCCATTCATAAATCGATTCAAGCGTGTAATCAAACACACTCACCGAATGCACCATTGCAGCTCCCTCAAACACGCGGCTGCTTAACAAAATTCTAAAACTTTGCAATACGTGTTGATCGTGCACAGTATAGTCGGGTGCCGAAGAACGAACGACCAAGCATAGCATACCAATGTATACACAGTGACTCAGCAGTGCATAGACCTTAGTACATGAAAATAAGAGCCGTCTAGGCTAGGAGGTTCACCTCCCCCCCCCCCCCCCACACACACACACACCACACCCCCCCCCCCCCCCCCCACACCCCACAGCCCACACCCCCCCCCCCCCCCACACCGCACACCCCCCCCCCCCACACACACCCCCCACACCCCCCCCCCCCCCCCCACACACACATCCAGTTCTTCGGCGACCGACAGTACTGTGTATGTATTGCAGCTGCTTGTTTTACAATGCCAAACTAACTCGGGGGTCCTGATGGAATGCCTTTTTTGTTTGAAGCAAGGTCGAAGTGCCGCGTCGTAAGCATGATGAATGTTTGCGTTTGCTCCTCCTGCAGATTCGCCTGGATTCTGGCAATTCGGGCTATTTCCGCATGCTCCTCTCAGTGAACAACAAGGCGCACTTGAACCCCGGTATCTCCGACAGGGATAGCTACTGGACGTCAGGCAACCTGTATTTCACTCTCTCCGCCACCGGATTCATCAACTTACGTGCCGGCGACGTCGTATCCGTGTTCTTGTACAGCCAGACGGATAAGTCGTATCGCATCTACACCGAGAGTGGATTCAGCGTCAACTTTGTCGGTCACTATGCGGACGTACCCGGATTCCTTGCAGACTTCAATCCAGCACGGACCGTCAGCGTAGCAGCCAACCAGGCTGTGGAACTGACCACATTCACCACGGACTCATTATCTGTAAATGGGTTCTTTGAAAGTGGCGGAAAGGTACTCACAAATGGTCGATTTGTTGCACCTGTCGACGGAACATATTTCGGCGCTGCAAACATTTACATCACCCCGAGCAGCGCCACGTCCACTGGTATCTTTGTACATCTGGCATTGAATAATCAATACGCTAACACCTCTCTTACATACCAAGCAAGGCGAAGTCTTCCTGGGACGGGAACGTTTGCCCTCTCTGTGAGTGGCTCCTTCCAGATGAAGCAGGGTGAAGTCATCTCGGTGTACGTGGGCGCTGCGTTTACAACTAAATTCACCGTGGGCACAGAGAGTGTATTCTCTGCGGCTCTGATCGGTTCCATGGGTCTTGCTGGCCTGGCCACGGCACAGAGCGTCGCAAAGTCCACAACCAGGAGTGGAGTGTGGTATCTCTCGGGTTACACGGACCTCTACAACTACATTTCCAGCGGCGCTGCGTCGGGCAGCTATGTGATGCCGCAGAGTGGCTGGTACTATCTTGCGTTCAACACTATCGTGAAGAGCAACGCGTCTCCGTACGTGCGGAGCGGTATCAGCATCGATCGCAGAGCAGACTATCACAATGGCATGCATGCGATTCGCGGTTCACCGGCCAATGCTGCAGTCACCCTCTCAGGTGAGACTAAAGCTAGAGTGCAGGCTCAAAGAATGTTGTCATTCCCGGGCCGCGTGTGTTTTGCCTGACACTGAGCTTAGCCTTTGGCCCCTGTCAGTAGTTCACTTTGTGCTCTTTCATCAATGGTTTGTGATCAGGGTTAAAGCCAATGTGAACTTGAAGAGGCGCACTGGGAGCGGTCTCTTCATACTTGGACTAATCTGCATCACTCGACATATGAAGCAAACTGCATACTAATACTAGAGCAGTTGGCTTAGTGGAAAACTCGAAAATACTTCCTCTGATACCCTGGACTAAATACTGGCAACATATTAATCTATTCGATGCAGCTGAGAGCTTGTTCGTGGAATTAACTTAATTCAGGCGTTTTGAGTGCAAGTAGAGAACGCTACATTGGAGGCTTTAAAAGAAAAGTTAGACATAATTTCGCTTTTACTTGTACTCAACTGTAGCAATGCCGGGCAGACTACGTAGCATAGTGATGGAGTTTTTAGTGACTGCACATACAGTGTCTGTATGTGCATACAGTCAATGCATGCACATACCAACAATGCATGTACATACAGTCAATGCATGTACAATTGTACATACAGGCAATGCCGCGTCGTGCGCAGGGAGAATGGTTGTGTTGATAACTCCAACCACGCATCGTACAGTGGCAAAACCGTATGAAATAGCCCGGCCATCATGCTCCAGCAGCATAGTGATTATCTTTGCACACAGGAGACCTTCTCATAGCGGCAGTACAGCTGGAGGCTGGCATCGGTGAACTGTACAGCGAGTGAGAACAGGCACTGGGAACTGAGGATGCCTGTCACGCACAGACCACTGTGCACTGCGAACTGAGGATGTCTGTCACGCACATACCACTGTGCACTGCGAACTGAGGATGTCTTTCTGGTACAGACCACTTTGCACAGTATTGAGGCAGCAACATCATCAATGGCATGATGGAATGCAAGGACGTGTGCTTCACAACTAGCGTAGGGTCCGATTGGAGAATGTTGTTCACTACCATGTTTAGACCACACAGAGAATCCTGCAAGTACTGTCTCTCATGTACAGTGTACAGTAGTACCTGCCGTGTAAGCGACCTCTGGGTTTAGCGACCACCTGCTCTCAACGGCCGTCTATCCATGCACCGACAGTTCTACACAGACACTGCGGGACCTGGTTCTAAGACCACCTGGCTTTAACGACCGCTTCTGCTTGCACCGTGGGGTGGTCACTTAAGCCAGGTTTTACTGTAGAAACAACACCTACACGCATTCTTCCAAGCAGGTTGTGGGCTGGTTGTGGGCTGCGTGTTAACAAGCAGGTTGTGGGCTGGTTGTGGGCTGCGTGTTAACAAGCAGGTTGTGGGCTGGTTGTGGGCTGCGTGTTAACAAGCAGGTTGGGGGCTGGGTGTTAAATACTTCAGAAGTAGATCATATTGCTCGTTTAGTTTTTCACCCTAGTCTTTCTTCTGTTGTTCTGTAGGAGCTGGGACTGCTCGCCTTCGCAAGGGCCAATCCATTCAGGTGTATGTGTACAGTAGCAGTGACAAATCCTACACTGCCCAGGCCAGTCTGTCCATCTCTGCCATCAGCAATGCACAGATCATGCCTGCTACAACTGCAAGACGCTCTAGTCTCTCTATCCTCCGAACTGGCTGGACCACTATCACTGGTTACGGCACACCAAACGGAAATACCTACTATTTCACATCCAGTCAGAATGTGTTCAACACTGGCCAAGGCACGTTCGTGGCACCATTCACTGGTGTGTATGCTGCATTCGGCAGTGGAGATTTCTCAAGTGTCAGCACCGATATCTTCCGCGTAAGAACAAAACCCAAGTAGTGTGTGTGTGTGTGTGTGTGTGTTTGTGTGTGTATGTCTGTGTGTGTGTGTGTGTTTGTGTGTGTGTGTGTATGTGTGTAGTTGTGTATTTGTGAGTGTGTGTGTATGTGTGTGTGTTAGTGAGTGTGTGTGTGTGTGTGTGTGTGTGTGTGTGTGTGTATGTGTGTGTGTGTGTGTGTGTGTGTGTGTGTGTGTGTGTGTGTGTGTGTGTGTGTGTGTGTGTGTGTGTGTGTATACCATGACCAGGTATCTGCAAGTGTGGGTGTGTGTCAGTGAGTGTTTGTGTACGCACTTGTACGTTTGTACGTGCATGACTTGTGTTTGTCTATTGTGCAGAACCTGTAATGATCATTTCCAGATATCACTTTGATCTTGGCCTGGCATCCTGCAGCTCTCTAGCAGCTTCACTTTGTAGTTGGGTATGGAAGGTTTGTACAGGTTTGTGCAGATTTGCGCAGGTTTGGGCAGGATTGCACAGGTTTGGGCAGGTTTGCACAGGTTTGGGCAGGTTTGCGCATGTTTTTGCAGCAAGGACTTGCGTTTATTTTCGGTTTGCCTGCATCTTGCCTGCTGTCTTCAGCTAATGGTGAGTGTCAACAGCCAGACATCTAGTGACAGTGGCATGGTCAGTACTCATGCTACGCCGCAGACCTCCAGCTCATTCACCCTACACGTCGGCGGCAGCCTCTACCTGAACGCCGGTGACACGGTTCAGCTGCAAGTCTACTCCAACACCGACAGCAGCTACAGGTTGAACTTCGCCCTTCTGTCGGTGGCGTTCGTGAGCTTTGCCAATGCGGCGGTCGGTTTCAATGCTGATATGACGAGCGACATGCTCGTCTCCAAGACCGTGGGTAAATATGTCTACCCTGCCAGCTGGCAAACACTACCGGCTCTCAATAGCAGTCACGGACTGTATACCAGCGCTGGCACAAAGCTTGTCGGCGGTGTTTACACCGTCTCAGAGACAGGAATCTACATTGTCTCTGCCCAGGTATGTTGCTTATGAACACTCTCTAGTCTGAACTTAAACATCATCACCACTGGATTGTGGCACTGGATTGTGTCACTAGACTCACTACGCACCTTTTGAGTAAAGCAAGCAGCTGCAGACTCTGCCATTACGTAAATTTTTCCTACTCTACCTGCATAGCATGTACATGACGTATGTGTAGTGATCTTGACAAGCCTAACTATTGGGCATTCACAGCACCACCTATAGTGCTAAATCAGTAAAAATATCCATCAGAACACTTTTAGGGATGAATCACCATACCAACAAGAGTGTTGAATGATTGAATCACCATAGCAACACTTGTGTTGAATCACCATGGCAACAATTGTGTTGAATCACCATAGCAGCAGAAGTGTTGAGTCACCATAGCAACAGGAGTGTTGAATCACCATGGCATTGCTTGTTCCACTGAGGTGATGTGATCATGCAAGAAGACCAACAGGCTCTGCATTACCAGTCCATGCTATTGTGCCTTTGAGAAATGTAAAAACTGTATCAACTGTAGGAATGGACTCGGATGGAGAGCCAAGGATTAATTTATACTTCGAAATACAAAAGAGAAATGTTATCGCATGAGCTGATTGTTTAGTAACTGGTGGTGTTAGTGGACAGTATAGCGTAACTGGTAGTTCTGTGGTCCTTTCTCTTTTGTGTAAGAACTGTATAGATCATTACTCTGCAGCGTGTAAGCACAAGCCAGTGCATTCATTATTCAACTTTCGGAACTATGCAGTTTAGAGTTCCCAGCCTGGCAGTAGGTGTTATTTCAGTTCTGTAATATCACCGGTATGTGGTGGGGCATGCTGTGGTATGGTGGGGCATGCTGTGGTATGGTGGGGCATGCTGTGGTATGGTGGGGCATGCTGTGGTATGGTGGGGCATGCTGTGGTATGGTGGGGCATGCTGT